GATACTTGACGTGTGACTTTTGGAGGAAGTCTCGTACGAAACGCTCGTTTTGGAGACTTGACACGTGACTTTTGGAGGAAGTCTTGTACGAAACGCTTTTTTTTGGAGACTTGACGGCTTGACGTGACTTTTGGAGGAAACGCTCGTTTTGGAGACTTGACGCCTGACTTTTGGAGGAAGTCTCGTACGAAACGCTCGTCTTGCAGCCTCGAAGCATGACTTTTGGAGGAAGTCTCGTACGAAACGCTCGCGTGCTGCTTCTAGTGTGTGGGCAGACCGTGTGGCGACACGACGTTCGCGATGTCACAGTGCCATTTGGGAGTGTCCTACAAGAGTGGCGTGTAATAGTGTCCCGCAACCGTGTCCCACAAGAGTGTCTCACAAGAGTGTCCCTTAAGAGTGTCCCACAAGAGTGTCCTATAAGAGTGTCCCACAAGAGTGTCCTACAAGAGTGTCCCACAAGAGTTTCATGCAAGAGTGTCCCACAAGAGTGTCCCACAAGAGTGTCCCACAAGAGTGCCCCACAAGAGTGTCCCACAAGAGTGTCCTACAAGAGTGTCTCACAAGAGTGTCCTACAAGAGTATCCCACAAGAGTTTCCTACAAGAGTGTCCCACAAGAGTGTCCCACAAGAGTGTCCCACCAGAGTGTCCTACAAGAGTGTCCCACAAGAGTGTCCTACAAGAGTGTCCCACAAGAGTGTCCCACAAGAGTGTCCCGCAACAGTGTCCCACAAGAGTGTCTCACAAGAGTGTCCCTTAAGAGTGTCCTACAAGAGTATCCCACAAGAGTTTCCTACAAGAGTTCCTACAAGAGTGTCCCACAAGAGTGTCCCACAAGAGTGTCCCACAAGAGTGTCCTACAAGAGTGTCCTACAAGGGTGTCCTGTAAGAGTGACCCACAAGAGCGTCCTACAAGAGTGTCCTACAAGAGTGTCTCACAAATGTGTCCCACAAGAGTTTCCCACAAGAGTGTCCCACAAGAGTGTCCCACAAGAGTGTCCCGGAAGAGTGTCCCACAAGAGTGTCCCACAACAAAGTGTCCCACAAGAGTGTCCCACAAGAGTGTCCCACGAGAAAATGTCCTACAAGAGTGCCCCACAAGAGTGTCCTTTTTGAGTGTCCCACAAAAGTTTCTTACAAGAGCTTCCCACAAGAGTGCCCCGCAAGAGTGTCCCACAAGAGTGTCCTACAAGAGTGTCCTACAAGGGTGTCCTGTAAGAGTGACCCACAAGAGTGTCCTACAAGAGTGTCCCACAAGAGTTTTCTACAAGAGTGTCCCACAAGAGTGACCCACAAGAGTGTCCCATAGGAGTGACCACAAGAGTGTCCTACAAGAGTGTGCTACAAGAGTGTCCCGTAAGAGTGTCCCACAAGTGTCCTATAAGAGTGTCCCACAAGATTGTCCTACAAGAGTGCCCCGTAAGAGTGTCCCACAAGAGTGTCCTACAAGTCCCACAAGAGTGTCCCACAAGAGTGTCCCGCAACAGTGCCCACGAGTGTCTCACAAGAGTGTCCCTTAAGAGTGTCCTACAAGAGTATCCCACAAGAGTGTCCTACAAGAGTTTCCCGCAAGAGTGTCCCACAAGAGTGTCCTGCAAGTGACCCACAAGAGTGTCCTACGAGAGTGTCTCACAAGAGTGTCCCACAAGAGTGCCCGACAAGAGTCTCCCATAAGAGTGACCCACAAGAGTGTCCTATAAGAGTGTCCCACAAGAGTGTCCTTCGGAGTGTCCCGTAAGAGTGTCCTGTAAGAGTGTTCCACAAGAGTGTCCCACAAGAGTGTCCCACAAGAGTGTCCTACAAGAGTGTCCTACAAGAGTGTCCCTCAAGAGTGTCCCACAAGAGTGTCCGACAAGAGTGTCACACAAGAGTGTCCCACAAGAGTGTCCCACAAGAGTGTCCTACAAGAGTGTCCCAAAGGAGTGTCCTGTAAGAGTGACCCACAAGAGTGTCCTACAAGAGTGTCTCTCAAGAGTGTCCTACAAGAGTGTCTCACAAGAGAGTGTCCCATAAGAGTGACCCACAAGAGTGTCCTATAAGAGTGTTCCACAAGAGTGTCCTACAAGAGCGCCCCGTAAGAGTGGATCACGAGAGTGTCCTACAAGAGTGTCCCACAAGAGTGTCCTACAAGAGTGTCCCGCAAGAGTGTCCTACAAGAGTGTCCCAAAGCAGTGCCCCGCAAGAGCTTCCTACAAGAGTGACCCACAAGAGTGTCCTACAAGAGTGTCCCACAAGAGTGTCCTACAAGAGTGACCCACAAGAGTTTCCTACAAGAGTGTCCCACAAGAGTGTCCCACAAGAGTGTCCCAGAAGAGTGTCCCACAAGAGTGTCCTACAAGAGTGTCATTTGGACATATGTAGCTTTTGGAACGTGTTTGCATTCGGGTTCGTGGGCTCCATCTTGTTGGCTTCCAAAAAGCGTCCAACTTCCTTCCATTAAACCCGAAGACGGCTCGAGCCAGGATGAGGGATTTTGTAGGGATTCCACACGTGCAACTTGCAATGGTCCGGGACAAACATCAAGAACCACACGTACGAAGCACACTTTTCAGGGAAAGAACAACTATAGGAAGTCTTGAAGTCCGAGTTGTTAGTGGTGATAGCCATGGCCAGTGAGGGCCAGATCTCCAGCGATAGCCAGACGGAAAGCGATGAGTTGAGAGGTGTCCACGGTTTCCACCTCCGCATCGCCCAAATTCGAGCTTGTTGCAACTTCGAGAAATTCGACTCAAACGGTGCACCTGCGTCCTTGCACAGGTGCTTGAGGATCTCTTGTGTGAGTGTTATCATGGTGCTGAGTAGCTTGGGAGCCTTCCTGCTGGGCACATGCCAGGTGGATCCTTATGGGAACTCTTGGGATCTTGATGAGAGAAGTTTTGACTGTGAAATTGCTGCAGCCACAAGACACCTAGACATGAGCTACTGGGGACTCATGGCGTCTACCACTGTAGCTGGCTGTGGAGCGATGTGGCTTTGGTGCCATGCAGCAACACCTCACCTCATTCAAGCTTCGCGTTTTCTCATCCTCAACTGGATCGAGGGCTTGGTCACCCTGAGTGTGATCCTTTCCGTCCGGACCTACTATGACCGGTTCCAGCACCTAGAATCGATTCCATGGGTCTCATTGACCCTCATACTGCTGTCGATCAGAGCCGTCCTACTGGTGTGTGAACTGGTGAGCCTGCAGGTGTTGATCCAGAACCGCCTCCAAAGCATTTGGCCCGCGCTTCAGCGACCACGACACGGAGTATGGTTAAGACGCTTGCTTTGGACAGAGCTCGCTTTGCTTGGCATACTGGCTCCGATCCTCTTTGTGCAGCCAGTTGTGCAGCCTTACTTCGAAGGTTTTGCTACCGTTTCAGTGCTAGGGGTTCTGCTAGGGGTTTGTGCGACCGTTTCAGGGCTTTTGATCCCCAGCTGCTTTGTCGTATGGGTGTTTATGGTCTTCATGGCTTTGTGCCGTGTGTTTTCCATCTTCCGAGCAGCAGTGAAGATGGTGCAAGATGCTTCCCCAAAGTCATCAAGGATTCTGCGACGTAGCCGCAGAGCAGCTTCGCTCCAGGGTGTTGGCCTTGTGATCAGTTTAGCCACCACCTGCTTCTCTACAGGTGTTCTATTCTCCTGGAATTTATTCGAGTCGTCTAACAGAACCGAAATCAGGTTTGTCACCACACAGTGCGTGAATCTCGTGGTCAACACCGTGGGTGTCATTGCCTTCTCTGGAGCCTACCGGTTCTGGAGCCTACGGGGTTCTTCCGCAGAAAACTCCGCGAAAACCAGCGGCTTCACTAAGTGTTGCGCTGAACGGCCTACTAGGCCAGACCGGCGACTCGTACGGAACCTCGGCGGAGGAAGCGAATGGGAGGCGAAGGTCAGGGAGTTGGCCGGGCGAGGAATCTCTTTGCGGGAACTGCTGCGTTTTTACCGGAGATTGGGAAGCGAGATCATGTTGTCCTACCAGTCAGATGTGCACACGACCAATGATGTGGTAAGACTGGCCATCATCCCATTGACTGCAGCATCGTGCAGCTCCTATGCCGAGCTGGTGAATGGGAATGAGAGTTTGATGCCCAAGAAGATGGTGACTCATAATTGGTCCAACCTTTTCCGGGATTTGCTTGCAAGTGTGGTAGCCGATGCCATTGGAGAACACACTTTTGAGTTGATTTCTGCCTTACTCTCCGATGAAGCGGGCGTGAATGCAGTCGAGCAAATTATCGAACTACAAGGAAACTTAGAGGTTGTGTATTGGATTTGCGCCTTTTCGGTGAACCAACATGCAGGAATTTGTGGAGCAAACCCTCGCGGAGATGTGGACCCCGTCACCATGCTGCCGCATCCGGTGTGTTCATGCAGGAGGCCCAAATTCTTCAACGAGACGCCGCCTTTGAACGACAGTGGGGAGAGCATTCTTTGTGAGATGAACAAATTTGATGACATGATGAGCTTTCTAGCATCCACAGATCCATCATTTTCCGAGGTGGTTGCTAGTCCGTCCATGGCCATTTCTTGGCTGTGTATGTGCTTGTTTTGGTGGTTTGAAAACACGCAACCCACAAAGTGCGTACCACTTGGAAGCCCCTGAGTCAGAGGCAAATCAGGACATCCTGTGTTAGTGAGTTTCTTGAATGGAGTTTGTTAGTTTGTGACTGTCAGCTTGACCAAGGTTGCTGTCGATGCGTCCTTGGATCTCTTCAGCCGGGCTTGGTGTATGGCGGAGCTCGCCGAAGCCCAGCGCATGGGCATGGGGCAGTGTCTCCTGATCCGGAACAAAGCAACGCTGCTGAGCAGACAGCACAGTGCCCAGACAGCACAGACTGGACAGTTTTCGCCAGGATTTTTCGGGGCTTTCATGGTTTTAGACGATTGAATAGTATATTTCGATTATATTTTGATAATGTTTCGATACATAATGGATCTGGAGTTCCGACCCTGGATTGTGTAGACCCATGAATTCATATTGTAAGGTAAAAAAGACATGACTTTCCTTTTTTCGGCTGAGCTGCTGGTGCTTTCGCCCTGCAGTTCTCGTCGCAGGTCTGGAGGGCCTCAGAGTGCAAGACATGACAGCCACACGCAGGGAGGACGTCGATGCGATTCTAGCGAAGATCCCTGACAAGGTGGCGTTCAACCGCAAACTGCAAGAGCTGATTTTTGACCAGAAGGTGGGGCTTTTGACTGCTTGGAAGCAGGCAGATGCCTTGCAACAAATGGAAGAGCTATCACACGTTTTGAAGTGGGCTCGCATGTCAACGATTGTGAAAGATGGCCTGCAAGTCTGGCAAAAATGGACCGCTTAAACCTGGAGCGATGCAAAGAACAGTACTGTAATTCGATATAATTCGATGCAATTTAGGTTTGAAAGCATGCCTCATGATGGCAAGCCTAAAGGGTCAAAATCAAGGGTGCCTAAAATGGCTTCAGAGGACAAGTCATCACTGCATCCAACCGAAATTGGAACTGGGGCAACAACATCACCACATCAATGGGTGAAGCGTTGTGCTCAGTGAGGCTATAAGCGTTGTGTGTTGTGCGCAATGCCGAAAAATTATCGCCGACGCCGCGGGAGTCGTAGATGTAGGCCTCACATGACGACGTGTGAACAGGTGGTCTGAGCAGAAAAACGGATCTTTAAACCTACACGTCTTTTCCATCCATCTCTTGCACCTCTTGCTCCACTTGCTTTGCACCTCTTGCTCCTTTTTTTGATCCTCGGTGGGTAGGGCGTTTCAGCATGTCGAAAGGTGGTGTTGGCCATCGCCCGGTGTGTGATGAAAGGCGGGTGCTTAAGTGGTCGATCTTCCGTTTCGACGATCTACTCTCCAGAACATCTGGGAATGCCGGCTGAAGTGGAATTGACCTATTTATACGGTATTACGTATACATGATGTGTGTTTCCTACCTTGATGCTCGGCATCTTGACGGTTCTTCTTGTTTCACTGCATCTTCGACATGAGAATTCAGCCTTTCTATATAGTCTCAGAGCCAGGGTTTGGAGCACTGGTCGGCGCAGCCATCGGCGCCATGCAGCCCTCATGGCGCCGACCAGGCAGCCATGAGCTCTGGACTTTGATCCACCCTCACCATCCAATCATGTACTATTCCCCTAGGGATCCACATACCTTCTCAGGAGGTACTTGGGCCCTCCAAGCCTACATAAATAGTCTCCAATCACTACTTGGATCCCTAGGGTTCATATACTTGGCCAATCATGCATCACTGCCTGTAGATGCCTAGTACCATAGGGCAGCACCACTATTCCTATACCATATGAGTCATATTATAGGGCTGTACCACTGTAGGTGCCCCGCATCGTTGTCCCCCGGAAGAACACCTCGCTGTCCACCCGCTCGTTGGAATGTGCGAGGAGCGTCAAGAACGTGAAGAGCAAGTTCTCCAAGCCAAAGCGGCGGAAATAGAAAAGATCGTTTTTCTTGGCCAGGGCGGCGGCTGGAGTGCTTTTTTGGATGGAATGGCTGAATATACTCATTATAAATATGCTTTATTTTGGCTGGAGTGCCACTGACTATATATTACATTGAAATTGCCGTTGTTCTTCGTTCGATGCTTTAATATGCTTGGTGCAGGCAGCTAGCCGCCGTGGCGCAATGCATGGTGTTCTTTTCTTTCCCCAAAAGAGTCGCTGGTCTTCTTATTCAGACCTTCCATTGTTCACAAGTTACCTTTCACAGACCATCCATGGGACTGGAATATCTATGGTCCATCTATGCAATGTACCTATACTCATGACCCATCCGTGTAGTGTGACCTATGTCACATCCATTTGGGTGTTTGTTTCCACATCCGAAAAGTTGCTGAGCGATCGATGCAACTGGCCGCATAGCACGCAGCCATATTGGTCCCCCAATTCCATGCGGCCGCGACGCCACGTGAAGGGACAGAGCCCAGGAAAGACATCCAAGGAGACCAAGGGATCCGAAAAAAGCGATCAGAGATCAGAAGCATCTTCGACTCAAAACGCTTTCAAAACAAGCGGTGCAAATACGTCCGTAAAGTCAGCAAAGCGATAGGCAAACCAATATCAAAGATGTGATCGGCAAGCAAGTTTCCTAGGGTCGGATGAACGGAATCTTCACCTCAAATCGTTTTTGTTCAAGCAGAATTAATGTTAATTCTCTTGGTTCAAGTGGATCAACGACCTCCAAAAAGGGTCCAGAAGTACAACATCGACAACAAACAATCCCAAGAATTCTCACCCACTTGGGAAGGGCAGAAGTCTGACCAAGAATTCTCTCCGACGGTTCATTTACGTTCGGCCTTGGTAGTTGAACCGCCTCCGCGCTTGGCGTCCTGCTCCGTGTACTGCGCTCAGCAGTGGGACGAGACGAAAGGAGATCACAGACAGTGAACGCGTGGAGGTTGTTCAAAGCTCAAAGGATGCTTTGAAACTTGGGTACAACTTAAAGGAACGTCAGATCCGAAGACCAATATATGTCTTTAGCCATCAAAATGCATAGAAACTCGAACTCAAGTGTTGGTTTCCTGCTGGGTGCACCGTAGGTTTCAAGGTTTCAAGTCTACAAAGGAGAGTGTTCAGATGATGGCGTTCTGGGTTTGAGCAGTTTGATCACGGTTGAGAAGACATCGTCTCAGTCTACGATTGGCGCCCGGTAAATCGCAGTATATCATGCAGTTGCAAACCAGAGAAAATGCCGCCCCGCTGCGTACGCCACCGGTGTCACTATCATCATGTTCCGCCACCGGGGTTCCGTGCCTGTAGAGAGCTTGATCGACTGCGACTGTCCAGCGCATGCAACAAGCGGCACCTACTGAAGGTGTGGAGACTTGACCTCCTCAGCTGCCGATGACGGAGACGGAAGAAAAGCTCAGGCAGCCGATGACGGGTTTCGCGGCATTTTCAGGCATTTCTTTAGAACAAGGAGGCAAAAGGAGGCATCACATGTCTCGTCTCTTGCTTTGGGAATTGTTCTAACCGCCAATTGTTGAACATTTGTAGAATCACCCTCCCCTCTTGCATCCTCTTAGACGCACGTGTCAAAGAACAAAGGCCATTCTACAACAACCCTACCAGTCCAAGGAGTAAAAGCTGGTCCGGATGACCTCCTTGAGTATCATCGAGTACTGTTGTTAGGATTTTCCCAGTGAGATGAGGTCCCTGGTCTGTAGGGAGAGGAATGTAGTTTGTTCAATTCCATGTCCTTGGTTTCTCTCCTTCTGCGTCCCTGCCAGAGTTTTTTGTCGATCCTTGGAGAAGATCAGGGTATCAGGCTGTGAGTACCCTTGTCCACTGGGGTGCGTATACATAGAAGTGGAAGAACATGTGTTTCTTTTTTCCAGATGCGCCATCCACTTCCTTCTTTGGAGAGTATTTGACATCCCCTTGAGCTAAGTTCATTAGTCCAAGGAACGTGCTAAACATGAACACATCCAATTCCCGGATGCTCATGCCCATCATCATGTCCATCTTTCCCACTGAGCTCCTGGATGACTCACGCAGGAACAAGCTCGCTCCATGTCTCCTCCTTCCTGTCCCACTGAGCCCTCGGTCTGCCTGAAATCGGGACGAGACTCCATGGAAATGTAGGAAAGGAACACTGATGTTCACTGAATGACACGTATTTGAGTATCATCGTATACATGTTCAGATGTTCAGTGATTGTTCAGTGACTTCATGGTCCTTCATGGAAATGTCTTCAGGACATGATTCCATGTCACTTCGATGGTCGAACCATCCTTGTCCCGTCCGAACCATTCCCCGCCGTCATGCCAGCCGTCCACCTCGTCGCGGGAACCGAACACGGATGGCAGGGGCATGGGTGTGACCATGGATCAGCGACGTCGCCTCATGATGGCGTCGAAGCAGCTCGTCAGAGCTCGCCTTTGGCGTTGAAACAAGACGTCAGACGGAGAGGGGAAGTGGGGAAGGAGTGAGATGATGTGAGCGTGAAAATTGGGAGTGGGCTTTTAGATGGTTTTCATTTCGCCATCATTTATTCAGCGCACATCAGGAGCTTTTGGATGTATATTTCTGTGTCATGTTTTCTGCGGATGGCAGATTCTTCCAGCCCAAACCGGGTCGATTCTGCCAGCCCAAACGGGTCGCATCAGTTGCTCACCGTCCGTCCGACGTTCCGTCCCGTCCAAGCGACGTCGGGGCGTCGTTGGGGTCGGGACCGAGCGCATTGGCGACACATCGCTTAAGCTGACTGCTGCAGTGGCGAAAAGAACACGGAAGACTCTCACGAAGAATTTTTGTTTTTGCGACATGGAAGAAATGGAAGTCGACTTATTTTCATGCCTTTGATCAATCAACTAAGTATTACAGTATTGGTACCAGCACCCGACTCTACAGGTCACCAATTGAGACTTGTTGAGGCTCAATAGTATAGGAAAGGGTGCTGGTATGTTTCTCAAATATGGCTTTGTTCCACTTCCACAAGTTGCATGATGTTGCATGTGATGTTTGTCGAAGTGTACACACTCTTTCATTTTGGAATAATTCGGAGGATATATAATTCCTGAGATAAAGTTGTTGTTGTTCTTCTTTTTCCTGTTCTTGTTGTTGTTGTGGTGGTGGTGGCGGCTGTGTTTGTTCTTACTATTGTTCTTGTTGTTGTTGTTGTTGTTGTTGTTGTTGTCACATACAGCGTCACCATGTTTTAGCTGGAATTGTGAACAACCAACAGTAGTGATGTGGGCCTTTCTCCAGCTCTTGCGCTCAAGTTGGGTCAAACTACCCCGAAGCGTGCAACTGGTGAGCGCATGGAAACGCAACGATCTACTCAGTTCATGTTGAAAAAAAAAAAAGGTCAAAAGGAGGAGAAGCATAGATGATCTTCACCTAAATTTCACTTCGAGTCCGTCCCTCGGTTCTGTTTCTGATCGTTCCCCGCCGAACGCGGCTGGTTCGGCTCGTGGCTCGGCTCAGGCTGGGCCTCGGACCGCTGGGCCAACTGGGCATCCAGGGCAGCGAGGGCTCGAGGTCGGCAGTGGGATGGAGGATGAGTCGTACACAGCGCATGGAGCGAACCGGAGTCGGATCGTATAGTGAGTGCGCCGGTTGAGGTTTCTAAAGAGCGAAAGAGCACCATTCAGAAAGAGCGGAGTATAGGTATTAGAGCACGGGTGAAGCCACTGTCAAGGTGTTTTTTCTAAGTTTTTTCTGAAATTCACACCTAGGACCTATGATATTTTGAGAGCCTCTTTGCCCAAACATGGAAGTCTGGAGATTGCAGTGAGTCCCAAAATACATGGTTTGGACTGGAATGCAGAGAAACGAGAGGAACTTGGTTTTTGGTGGATGGTTTGCCTGAAAAAGAACCTGTGAAGAGAGAAGGTTCCGGTGAAAAAAAACGGCAAGTCTACATCCTTTGACACCTTGTGCATCGCCAACTCTGCCACAAGATCCTGCAGGAAAGCACCAAGCTGATCTCACTTTCTATATTTTCCGTGCTTTCGAAACCAGCCGAAACCAGCCGAAGCCGAAAGCGCCACCGCCGTACCGCGCGATGTCCAGATCGCGCTCCCCTGCCCGGCAGCCCTCGCCCAGTGCGGGAGCCTGGAGGGG